TACTACACAGTAAGGTAAAATAACATAGGATAAAATATAAATAAGAAAGGAAAAATGAGGCCATGGAAAAGGGCAGGAAAGTAAAATGAAGCCATAAGTGGGCCAGGAGAAGGCCAGGAATCTACCTTTAAGATTCCTTGTAATCATGACCCTGAAAAGTCACAGGACCCATGAGAGCAAAGCAAATCAGTTACTTGGGAAAAGCCTATTTCTTCCTTGTACTGAGGCCAGGGAGAAGTTTCTACCCTAGACCAGAAAAGAGGAGATTTAGAATGTAGGAAACAATGTTCTCAATACTGCCCCTGGAAATAATTTAGTTTGAGAATATCATGTGGAACTGTATGTAGCCTTAGAACAACACAGTGAATATTTCCTATAGAAAGTCGAGAATGTGAATCTGAAACTCAGGAAGAAAATCGGGAATAAAAAGGTGAATGAATTTGGAATTTCCCCACACAAAAGACTTGCCTGCTGGGGGGATGACAACACAGTAATTGAAGTAGAGAAGTCCTGTTGCTATTAGGGTTTATGTCTGTGGTGTAGAAATCACTGCCTAAATAAAGATACAGTGTTTTCACTAAGATTATATATTAATATATTTCAAACATGAGTGAATTTTTAATTGAAAATATAAAATGTCTCCCTCTTAGAAAGGAAAACTAAATTCATCAAATTTTAAATTTATAAAACAGATAACTTATTAGCTTTCTAAGAGATTCAAAATCAAGAGAGATCCAAGATGGCAGTGGAGTAGGTAGACATTATACTCAGAACCAAACTGGAATTACAACTGAATTGTAGAACAGTCAACCTGAATAACCAATTGGAAACTGTCTGGAGAGAAGTCTTATAACCAAGGACTCAGAGAAGAAGCCACATTCAAAAAGGGCCTGTCCCATTCCCATTAGCAGCTGCTGAGATTCAAGAGGGATATGTCAGCTGTGAAGTTTCCCCCTGAGAAGTGTGGGGTCTCAACCCCTGGTCAGGCTGCCCAGCCCAGAGCACTGGAGCCAGGAAGAGGTACCCACATAACATCTGGTTGTGAAAAGCAGTAGGTTTTCTATCTGTCAGGGAGAGACCGGAGTCTTCTACAGATACAGTACCTTTTAAAGGCTCAAAACAAAATATATTTCATAGCCACTCACCTTAGGCTCTGGCACAGGGAGGGTAGAGCAGACTAGAAGCACATGAGGAGAGTCTGGAGTTTGTGAATCTGGGGAGAAAGCTGAAGGGAGAGCCGCCAAGATACCTGAGCTGAATCCCTCTCCCACATAGCAGACACCACCTTTCTCCTGTGGAGCACACACCTCCATGTGACATCAACCTGAGGGAATGCAATAGCCCCACCCTCTAGACTTCTTTTAGTCCCATCCTGCTGAGCTTACGACTGATGAGGAGTCAGCTGACTATACCAGAGTGTAGAGCTCTGGGTGGACTCAGGGGTATCAGTGACTGAGTTGTGTGGCTTTGGGGCAGAAGTCATACTCCTACTTCCCCCCTCAGAAGATATCTGCTACCTCTACTCTCAGGGCTCCTGGCAGCCCCACTCTTCCAACTCCTGGTGGCTCCACACTGCAGAGGTCTGGGCAGAGTCTGGGACAGACTGTGTTGTGTGGCTGTAGGGTGGGGGCCATTCCCTCCACTATCCTCCAAGCCTCTATGGTACCTCCCCCTCACAAGAGATCCACTATCCCCATTTTCCCAACTCCCAGCAGCCTTGCCCTGCTGAAATCAGGCTCCTGGCTGAATCTGGGACAGACTGATTCATGTGACTCTAGAACGGAGGCCTCACACACTCACTGGAGTATTTCCCTTGAGATAGGGAACAAGACAGGGATGTCTTCTTTCACTACTCATATTCAACATAGTACTGGAAGTCTTAGCCATAGCAATCAGACAAGAAGAAGAAATAAAAGGCATCCAAATTGGAAAGGAAGAAGTTAAACGGTCATTATTTATAGACACCACCAAAAAACTACTAGAACTGATAAAATGAATTTAATATAGTAACAGGCTACAAAATCAATGTCCAGAAATCAGTTGCATTTTTATATACCAGTAATAAACTATCATAAAGGGAAACTAAGAAAACAATCCCATTTGCAATTGCTTCAGAAAAATAAAATACCTAGGAATAAATTTAACCAAGGCTATAAAAGACCCATGCTAAGAATATTATGAGACACTGAAGAAAGAAACTGATGAAGATACAAATAAGTGGAAGCACATATCATGTTTATGGATAGGAAGAATTAACATCATTAAAATGTCTATACTACCCAAGGCAATCTATAGATTCAATGTAACTCCTATCAAGATAATAATGGGGTATTTCAAAGAACTACAATAAATATTCTAAAAATTACATGGAACCACAAAAAACCCTGAATGGCCACAGCAATCTTGAGAAAAAAGAATAAAGTTAGAAGAATCATGCACCTGATATCAAAACCATACTACAAGGCCATAGTAATTGAAACAGCATGGTACTAGAATAAGAAGCAGACATATAGATTAATGAAATAGAATAGAGAGCCCAGAAATAAACCCACTACTTTATGAGGCAAAATATACAATGGGATAAATATAGTCTGTTCAATAAATGGTGTTGGGAAAATTGGACAGATATGTGCAAAAAAAATAAAATGATACCACCTTCTTACACCACACACAAGGATAAACTCAAAATGAATTAAAGACTTAAATGTTGGACAAAAAACTCACAAAAATCCTAGAAGAAAACATAGGCCAGAAAATCTCAGACATTTCTCATAGCAATATTTTTATATATCTACTTGGGCAAGGGAAACAAAAAAATAAACAAATGGGTCTGCAACAGACTAAAAAGTTTTTGCACAGCAAAGGAAACTGTCAACAAAATGAAAAGACAACCCACTGAATGAGAGAATATATTGCCAGTGATACATCTGGTTAGGGGTTAACATCCAAAATTTATAAAGGACTTATATAACTTAACACCAAAATGATAAACATTCCAATTTTTTTAATGGGCAAAAGATCTGAAGACACTTTTTCAAAGAGGCCATACAAATAGCCAATAGACATATGAAAAGATGTTCAACATCACAAATCATCAGAAAAATGCTAATTGAAACCACCATGAGCTATCACCTCACACATGTCAGAATGGCTATCATTAATAAATCAGCAATAAAAAGAAGTGTTGGAGAGGTTGTGGAGAAAAGGGAACTCTTTTGCACTGTTGGTGGGAATGCAGATTGGTGCAGCCACTGTGGAAAGCAGTAGAATTACCTGAAAAAATTTAAAATGAAACTGCCTTATGACCCAGAGATTCCACTTCTGGGAATATATCCAAAGAAACCTGCATTGCTGTGTTATTTATGATAGCCAAGATTTGGAAGCAGCCTAAGTGTCCATAAGTAGATGAGTGTATAAAAAATCTGGGTCCATTTACACAATGGTATACCCCTGAGCCATGAAAAGGAAGGCAATCTTACCATTTGCAAAGGCATGGATGGACATGGAGAGTATTATGCTAAGTGAAATAAGCCAGTCAGAGAAAGACAAGCACCATATCATTTCACTTATATGTGGAAACTAATGAACAAATTAAACTAACAAAATGGAAACAGACTCAAAGACAAAGAGAACAGACTGACAGTTGTCACAGGGGAGAGGGTTTGGAAAGCTGGGTGAAAAAGGTAGTGTTTAAGCAAAGAAAAAATTCATAGGCACAGACAATAGCATGGTGACTACAAGAGAGAAAGGGGGTTGGGGTGATAGAGGGTAAAGGGGTGATAACTGGTGATGAGAGGAAATATGACCTGGGGTAGTGAACACAATACAATATACAGATGATGTATTATAGGCTGGTATACCTGAACACTATATAATTTTATTAACTAATATCACCCCAACAAGTTCAAAAAGATTTTTAAAACAAGAAAAATAAAAAAAGATTCAACATTGAATGTCAGCAATGATTTTTATTGACTAGCAACTGCCTTAGCAAAGTCAATTAGTAAAATTTCACTTATCACTAATTTTTGAAAAACACACATTGCATTAGATGTGGCAAGTATGTTTCAAATTTATAATCCCAAAAATATATCAGGAAAGCAGTTTCTACAATACATATAAGATCAGTAAATTCTGTTGGTTAGATTAGTTACTCTATAATGTCATTTAACAGTAGAACTTTCTGATAGGACTATTTCATAAAGTAAATACAGGGTCTGGCACAAAGAGCACCCCTTTTAATTGCAAAATCTTTGATTGAAAATCATAAACATGTAATTCTGTAACATAACAATATACTCAAGCACACTGTATGACATTTTAGGAGAAATGTTCACATTGCTGTCCATCTCATGTGAGACATTCACGTACCCTACCAACCACACTCAAGTAAGCCTTACTTCTGCCACACCCTGTACATTCCAAAGATCAGTATATGACTTAAGGATTGTTTTGGTTACAATTATTAGAAACTGATTTGGACTTTTAAAATAATATTCATGCATATATACATCTATATAATTGGAATGATATATGAAGTGTCTTACATATCAAAGGAAAGAGTAAGTTCACAAGTTTGGGACAGCAGGAGCTAATGGGCAGACTGCTCAAGGTTTAGTGACGTCATCAGGATGAATCAGATTCCATGTTTTCCATCCTGCACTGCTCAAATCAAGACGCCCCCCCATCCTTGGACAGAGAGCACTGTTTCACATATCCATCTCCTGGCCAGAGAAAGGAAGGGCCCCTTGATCAACAGCCCCTGTCAGGCAGCCTTTTTTACAGAAATGTCAAGGTTGTACTATGGCAAAAGGTAATGGGCAGAAAAAAAATGTCCACTTGCAGCAAGTATGCATTTCTGATAGGAAAGCGGAAACACACATGGATGTTTACATATAACGTGAATCTAATCATCACCCAGAAGCTGGAATATTTTCACATTTGCATCCCTTGAATATCTTAAGAAACCAAGCATTTGCTATAGGTTATAATCAACTCACAAGGACTCTTCTTCGGATAAGGAGGATGTTCTTTATCCATAAAAATGTGGCAGGATCATTTTGTCTTGGTCTTACCTTTCATCAAAACTAAAAGAAAAAGAGTTATTGTTGACTTTATGTTTGAAATAAGCCAATACTATACTAAAATATTAATACAACCTTAGCCAATGTTAATGGAAAATTAAGTCCAAATGACAGGAAGTACAGAGTCAGTACCTTCTGTGCTGTTTAGACAGAGCATTGTTTTGAATTCCGAGTTTTATAATTTAGAAAAGATGAGGCAAACTAAGAGTATGCTCAGAGAACATGACAGGATAGCAAAGAAAGCATCAGAATAACAATGAAGGGAAATGGGAACTCTTCAAACAGAGAGAAAAGGACTTGGGAAGTGAGGGCAGTCCTGAATGTACTAGGTTGCAATGCAAAGAAAAACTGACCGTGTTCTCCAAAGATATAGAATCCAATTCCCACTCTTCCTATTTTGCTGCGTGATCTGGAAAAGGATGCTCACTGTCTCTGGGTCTTAGTCTGCACATCAGTAAGAGGAGATGTTATGTTGTGGCTGATGGCATGGATTTTAATTAGATCCAGATTCAGATTCAGATTCAAAACCCATTTTCACTGCTTATTGCTAAATGATTTTGGTCTGAGTCTCTATAAAATAAAGATACGTAAGGATGAACCCTAACTCAGAGTCCCCATTGTGAGGATTTCAAAAAGTACTATCAGTAAGTTGCCTAGGATAGTGCCTAATACATGGTGAATTATAAATTTAGAGTATTCACTTTCCATTTACCAACATGTTATACTTGTAACTATTCAGTAATCCAATTACATTAAATATTTTAAAAGTCCTTACAAGAAAAAAACAAAGTTTTCTGTGGTGTTGTAGGAACAGTAGGTGAAAGTGTAAATACAATTTTCTTTAAATGAAGAAAAGACTTTCTAGTAACTAGAACCAACAAGAAAAAACTGACTTGTGGAAGTAGCAAGGTTTTCAACACTGGAAAAATTCAAAAGGGGTAAAACGAATACCAGTTGGGGTACTATAGATCAGCTTCTTATTATTTCGTATGAGTGCAGAAGGATATAAGGCCCCTTAATAACCCAAATGTCTATGAATTTCAGCGGAGCCCAGGACCAAGTACTTTCAGAGCTCACAATATTAATGTACCACTGCCCTCTAGTGTATAAACCAAGAAGATAAAATCACAGATAACAAAAAAGAAAGGAAAAAAGCAAATTGCACAAGCACCGTACAGAATTATTTTTTATTGGCAAAAATTTACCTCACTAATCATTGAGTAGAACCTTCTCATTGTCAGACAAGGAAAGTGAGGGAGAGAACGCAAAATGATTGGCTGAAAGTCAGCTTCAAAGCAGGGACTAGACTGCTGGCCTCGCTCCCCGGTCAGGGCGCTCGGGTCAGGGCTCCCCGATACTGCAGCCCAGAGCTAGGTCACCCCTGGGTAGGCGAAAATCTGAGCCAAAAATCCGTGCATCTAGCCATGTAAAAAGTAAAGATTCCCTTAGCACCATAAGCCCAAAATGTCCTCAATTACAAGTTCAAACCCTTACAACTCTTTTGCAGAAAAGAAAAAAAAAATAATGGTTAATGAGGCCTTGTTGACAAGAACCGTCCGTTATCAGCAAGCTAATGACCACTCAGGCCGAGGCAGGGCTGCCAGCCTACAATTAGGGCTGCAGTGATGTACACACAGACAGGGGCTCCAGTTATAATTAAACCTGATCCTTTAGTCCAGTTGCTCATTAGGAAAGAAAATAAAACAAAACACAGACCCCACAACAAGAAGGCCTAAAATGAGTACTTTGGTCCAGGGATGAAATTCTAAGCCATCAATCTATTAGTCCACATCTAAGCATCTGTCTCTGAGTGAACACTTAAGCTTATATTCTTATTCAAAATACTTTGTAATGAATGAAGATTTTTTTTGATCTTAGCAATTTTTAAAGTCATGGCACATAGCATGGTGATAATCTTTTATTCATTTTGCTTATCAGTACCTTCCAAATGTTTTTCTATGAATATTTATAACATATAATTAAACATAGTAAAAACATACTGAATCTTGACAAAATCTCTCTAAGCAATAAAAATATCTAGGTACTAAATATAAGAACACATAAAAGAACAAATCTTTTATAATTAGAAGAACCAATATGCTCTATTAAGCAGCCAACGCGATGTAAAAATCCGCACGGGTTCTGCCCCGTGCAACCAGACAGAGTTGGCATGAGAGCTCAGATAGAGAATTCCTTCAGACAAGTGTCTAAAATGTTTAAAGAAGATGATTGTGATAAAGTGGCAGATCTTAGATCCTAGAAGACTTTTTAAAAGTGATCTTTAATTCTGGGCTTCTTCCTCTTCAAAGAATACCCCTATGTTTCCACTTCTTTTTCCCAATAATACCAAAAGTATCGAAAGTAAATCTACAAAGAGAAGTGTCTTACTAAGAAAGGCCTTCCTATTTAAAGCCTTGGGTTGCTGAGGAAAGTGGTAAGAAGAAGTGAAGAGGTAGTAGGTGTTGACTGAAACCAAGAGGAAATAGCTTCATTGGAATTTTAACTCTGGAGTGTCGGGAAGAAAGATAGTGAGGAAAAAAGAAAAGAGAGTGAACCTAATGGATTCGAAGAGGCTTGTTCTTTCCATTTCTTCCAATTTAGTGCCCTTCTTATTGCCTTTTAAATTTTCCTAGGGAAATAATGAGGGTCTTTCTTATTCCTGTCCATTCCCTCTTCATTTGCAACTTCTCCCAGCTCTTTAATATTCCTGCCCCTCCTCCCGTGCTTTGGAATGGACTGCACCGCATTTTCGAGGACATGTGTCATAAATTTTCTTCTCATTACATTACACTTTCTCACGCATTCCTTCAATCTGTTCATCTCTATGGGTCTCTTATCCATCTGTCTACAAACATTCTTGGGTTTTCTCTATAATTAATATTCAATCCTGCAAGCCCTCCAATTGCCATGTTCTCCTTTCTGGGGAACACAAAGAAGAAGCACCATGAGGAACATATAATTTTTTTAACTTGGTATTATGCTCAAGGGGCTTATAATTTACTTGTGGAGACAAGACTGCTACTTCACTAGAAACAACGGTGGTCAATAAAAGGCAATTTATCTCTGAGTCCTAATGTGTTGTAAGGCTCTGAGTTTCTGTAGTGTAGGGGATGCAGCAGGGGACGTTCCCGAGGTGGTCCAGGCAGGGATGGTTTGAAGGAAGTACCCAACCTGAATGTTGTACATGGGAATTACTCAAGAAATGTTGGTGATTTGATTTGAGATGAAATGTTAGCCAAACCTTAAAAATAATTATATGGTCATCAGTTCTCCCATCAATTTGACAATTATCCTTATTCACTGAATTTAAGGTGCATAGTACTCTACATTTTAACAACTCTGACACATACATCTTTTAATCAGTATCTCGGCAGGCACCAAATTCATTGGCAGTGCTTTTCTTTCTTAGTGATATGTAAAATAATGGTAGAGTTTACAATGGATGGCTTCTTAGAGCCCATAAAATACTTTTTTGAGTATCTGGTATACTCTATGCTATTATTCTGAACCCCAGGATATGTGAATAACAAATGTAAAGTTTCTCTTTTGTGGAGCTTGCACTGTGGTAAAGGAAAGGAGATATCTAATAAACAAATGAACAAATATAAATTGAAACTGGGTACTGTGATAGAGACTGAGCAGCAACTGGATTTAAGCCTACATCCCAACTACTGTGTTAGAAAAGAAAAAGTATTCAAAAACAAACTTTCTAAAATGCAGATTTTGCATAAGAAGATGTTACAATTTTGGAGGAATTAAATAGAAAGTGATAATGATAAGAACTGGATATAATAATCAGAGTAGCTGATTAATGGAAAAACAGCAAACTTGGCAATTGTCTTCAAAGCCATGGGATGGCCCTACATAGCCTTGTCTTATTCAGCAATTTTGCCAGTGATTTGGGCAAATAAGAAATTACATTAATATTCAATTTGCAAATGATAACTCTTGGAAGGATTACTGGTACATTAGCTGATGGAGTTAAGATAAAAGAAAAGATGACAATAAAAAATGGACTAAATAAAAATAACTGTGAAGTCCTTCTTTCAGATTAAAATTCCTATTTGCCAGAGAACAGTCTAGGAGGTATATGTTATAACAGACTATATATTTGAACATTGGGGATTTCTGTTGCTGACAAAATCTGTATGAGATAAAAGTTCTGAGGCTAATTTTAAAAATTATCTTCTGGAGGGTGGGCCCATTACATTATAGTAAAGGCTTCCCCTACTAGGTGAATGTTCTAAGAACCCATCTGCATTAGTGTACCAGCTGGTGTTGTTATGAGAGGCTGTGTTTGGCTTCAGTAAATATTTTTGGAAGACTCTTTCAATGTGGGGGCAACTTTGCCTGCAAAGTCCCCCCATTCACCATGGATGAAAGTGTAACTACCAAGACATGATCTGCTTGGAGAGGAGAGGTGGCCAATCTCTCAGAGGAGAAAAGCCTTCCTCAACAACTTTTATTGGGTTGTAATACACAGGAATATAGGCGGCAAGGATCAAACAGTAGATAACATTTTAAAGAAATCTGAGGGCTTAGTCTGAGTCAGTGTCTGTCAGGTAAGGGGTTGCAAAAACTTTGGGAGACATACTCATTTCCTGTTTGGACCCTTATCATATGAATGAAAGCACTCTTAGCAAAGCAGGCTTCACAGGACTTTGTGAATTCTTTCTTGTGCCTGATCCCCCAGATCCCACTCTAGCTGGCAAAGGGCTGCACCGCCACCCCCATCATAGGTTTTCAGGCTTAAGTGGATTAGAGCCAGGAAGCGCTTTTCCCAGATGGAAATGGGGACTCAGACTATGTCAAAATAGCCAGGGGTGAGGGTCCATCACTTTCTCTTTGTTGCAGCCCCCCAAGTCCTTTCATGATAGCCTCCCAAGTGATTGTGTCTGACTTAGGTTGCCCCTCCTATGAGAAGTCATACCCATCAGAGACGAACCAACCAAGCATTGGGGGCTGGGGGAGGAAGCAGAAGCAGCCTTTGCTCCCAGAGACAA